TCAATTATTGATTTTTTTATGAATGACAATTTTTAACAGTATTTTACAACTAGAATTGGTCTATTATCGATTTTTCTATGAATGACAATATGTAAAAAAGTACTTTCAAACAAGACTTGATAAATTATCGACTTGCTTTATTCTAATCATCATTTTAGAAACGAATCTATTCCTTTCAGCTTATATTTTCATTTATTTTGAATGTTATTGTTATGTTGTTTTAAGTTATGCAGATTATACTAAACTATACTTAACTTGAATCTTTTTTTTTCAATAACATCTGTTATTCTTTGTGTTCCTTCAAGAATTTCTGATCATCTTAGTATTTGGAATTCTTCCAGAACCTAAGGACCAATGGTTTGTGGAGTTCAGACCAATACTTGTTACACTTGTTACAATTGTAGCAGGACTCATCTTCGTGATCCTGGTCATTATTCTTCTTGTCAAAGTCCGTTCTAGAAAACATGGGAAGCGGAACGCAGGTTGGTCGTTGATAACAAATATGGCTTCTCGTGTTAATATAATTTATTTGATATCTCGATTGCAGTGGTATTGAAAGTAAACTAGATAAAGTTAGAATTCAGCGATAATGATCATTTCACCTACTTTCCTTGTTTTTTGTTTTTTTTATAGAAACACGAATTACCAGAGTGTTTTCCAGAAATATGCCAAACTAATAATATCGCCAACTTGTATATTCCAGATTCATATTATACAGTCGGCTGGTGTGCTCAGTACGGACTTGTAAAATTACAAATCAGTCAGTAATTGAGACGAACTCAAGTTAACATACATAAATGATGTTCATTCTATATATCGATAATATTAAGCGGATGGAGCTGATAGAACCTATTGTTTCAAGAAAAAACACAAAGTAGAAACGGTATTTTTAATAATAAGGCAATGTGTAAATCCCAAATAATACACCTTAAATAATCGGTGACCAATTTGTCAGTGACTTGTTTGCTGCTTTTTGCTCTTATTTTCTTCCGCTTCCGTTGATTAATCCCGCTAAATTGAGTCTCTGGCTAATCAGCCAAAAGGAATAGTAATGGAAGTTCTTGATTTCATCTCTGGAAGAGAAGAACAGACTCTCGTGAAAAAATCGAATCTTAACTTTCTTGTTCTTCACGCTAAGGGCACTAAGCTTGTCTTTCAGGCATTTCCACGATAAGTGCATGATAAACATGCTCATACGTCATTGTATACGCTGCCAGAACTCACGCGAAAAAATAGAAGCACATTAGGAAATAATCTCCCAGACATTTTAACTTAGCCAAATAAAACACCATGCTTTGATAAACGAATATTTGAGCTAAGTATTTTTCAGGCAAGGAAGAATAATGAATTAATACTGAACGTTAGCGGAACTGAAGATCTTATATAACAGAAAGATATCGCCCACCCTCTAGCTTATTTCAATGATACTAGTTCCCCAGTGGGACGGCGGTAAGTTTACGAACTTACAACGCTAACATCCGAGGTTCGATTGCTCGCTGTGGGCAAAGCGCAAATAACCCATTCTGTAGCTTTGCGCTATAAAAACGCAACCATTAAATAGTACTAAATTATACGGATAAACTAGAAGATTAATGCGCCGATAAAAATAGATACCTCTAGAATCATTGCTTTAAAACATAATTTTTTTAATCGTAACAGTAAATAAGCAACTTAAATGTTGTATAGTGTACAAGGTTTGAATTGACTTGCATTCATTTTTTTAGAGCAAAGCCACATTGGGCTATCTGCTGTGTCCATCACGGGGAATCGAACCCAGGATTTTAGCATTGTAACTCCGTAAACTTATCGGAGGCGACTCATCATCACCGACAATGTCTGGATTAGGCTTAATAGATACGTGTACATAAGACTTGGCAGGCTTGCAATCTTATTACCCAAGCGCACATGTTGACTATACTAACATAATATATAGAAGGAAAAACACATATACAGTTAGCTACAAAGATAGACAGAGCGACAAAAAAAAATAGCGATACTTGCTTGTTTTCGCTCAAAGCTTAACAAGTGGCTATCTGAGCAATGTCTGTCACGGGGATTAAACCCGGAGTTTAAGTGTTATAAGGTCTGAAGCTTACTGATAAGCGATCAGGAGACTAGAAGTATGAATTTATTGAAATAAACCAACCTCATGACCTCTAGCCTATGACCTTTCCTTCGTCATGTAAACCAATCTCATGACCTCTAGCCTATGACCTTTCCTTCGTCATGTAAACCAATCTCATGACCTCTAGCCTATGACCTTTCCTTCGTCATTATATTTTCCTAAATGCTTGATGTTTGCTGAATTTCGCGCAAATTTACTTGAGTGCCAACTGCATTAGCCATCCCTAATTTTGAAGTCAATGATGGACTAAAAAGAAGGCAGCTAATCAACACTCTTTGCTAGTTAATAGGGTGAATGACTATTACATTATATAAACCCACCCCCCACGGTTGAAAGGGTGATTATGGTAGGTGACGGGTTTCGATCTCGCGACCAGCAGATTGCGATTAGAGCGCCCCCTAGCCACCAGATCGTACAAAGCCTACATGATGATAATTCCCATTATTTGCTGACCCTAAACAAGTCAGTATGTAATTTCACAATGTGAAAGCGCTCCCTAACCTCAGTTATACATTGAAATTAATAACATTTAATATCCTTAGATAGATGAAAATACTAAATTAATTTTTTTTATTGCAGATAAAACTGTCGTAGGAGAAGAACTATGGTAAGTTTTTAGATTATTACGAAAGAAATAACTTAATTTTCTAACTGTAAAAACTTTTCGAATTCATTTCTGTTATCACGGGTATCGAAAACCGGTTTCTAGCGTTATAAGTCCGGAGACTTAATGCTGTGCCTCTGAGAGACGTATAGGTTAAGCACTAAATTTTTTATATCGGTTTCTGTAATTTTTTGTTGCTTTTGTAATGAATTTAGAACATGTTTAACAGAAATATATGTTATTTATCATAACGTTTCTCCTTAATTGTGGTTAGAATATTTTAGGGAAGTCAATAAGTATACACTTTGGAAAGAAGTAGATATTATATAAACATTTATCGGATATACACTTCCCATACATGTAAGTAGAGATCAGTCATTTATATTATAGCGAAGATTAAATAAAGATTTACCAGATACACTTCCCATACATGTAAGTAGAGATCAGTCATTTATATTATAGCGAAGATTAAATAAAGATTTACCAGATACACTTCCCATACATGTAAGTAGAGATCAGTCATTTATATTATAGGG